AAATTTTCAAAAGTAAACTATGAAAATTTTTGCCAATATTTGTTTTACTAGCTGACGAAGTTTGCACGTTACTGCGGCGAAAATTGCCGGTGTGCAGTCTTGCTCGCTGCAGGTGAAGGGGGGGGGGGTGTCAGTGATGCTGGGTGGCGCGCCGCCAGCCCGTTCTCCATTGGCTGTTAAAGCTGGTAGGAGAAAAAAAAACTAGTGGAAAACGACTCATTCAAGAGGAAAGTACAGTCTTTTCTCTGGGCGTAAGAAAGAAAAAGAAAGAAAACGGGCTGTCCTGCGCCAAACTCGTACCCCCTCCCCTTCCATGACCGCCCCATCGTCCGCGGCAAAAAAGACTACAAGAGAATTCCGGTGAGGAGTCGCCGGCCTCCTCTCCGAGCAGCTTCGAATATGAAAGTCCTTCATGAAGGGAAGAAAAAACTCAGAAAAATTTCAGTCTTAGTGTTTCCTGCCACAGCATCTACTGCTTCACCCTCTATCAGTGCTGATTATTTTTTTTCCATTTTCAAGCTTGTTTGGAGAAGGGTTTTCACCACTAGCTCTATTTCTATGTTTTCAAGAGATCCACTGTTTCCAGGTCCCTGTTTATGTATCTTTAAATCATCGGTCCTATGGGATCAGAGCCGGATTAGTTAATCGCACCCTGGACTTCTTCCACATCTCTTCGTATCCTTCGTTCGCAATAGTGTCCTAGTCTTAAAGTGTTTCTAGATAAATGCGCCACGAATGGTGGTTGACGTGCCCCTCATAAGGACAGAAAATTTTCGATATTTCCCAAAGAAAGGCAAAGCACCGAAACGGCAACGTAAGTCTTATCGTATTTACCTCGACATATACTTGTTATGCAATATGCCTGTATTTGGCTCTGAAATAATGGTCTTCCTCGTTCCATGCGCTAAAAGGACTTTAAAAAAATGGGAGAATTAATGTTTTTTCACTTTAGTAGAACTACTTTCTGATTGCGCAAAGTAGTTCCTCTTCCTTGTTTCTCAAGGACATTGTTGGAATTGCGAATTGGGCGGACCACGACGTCAGTACGACATCGTTGACGTGCCCCTCCCATTCTCCCCTTCGACAGTGAGTAAGCGGGAGGAGTCAGAGCAGGCCAATGATGTCGTTCTTGGTCCCGCCCATCCGAGAAGCCGAGAAGATGTTTCCATTGCTGGATGTGGGCAATAGTGGGTCGGATGTGGTCTAAATTCGAAATCTGGCAGTACACTTGCCTTATTGACATGAAAGGCGCGTTGGACTGGTTTGAGCTTCGCCTAGGGCAGCGCTCAGACTTCTTCTCACGACGGCTGCGCTTCGGTCGCGCGTTCGACGCGATCAATGCAGTCGAAAACATGTGCATCGATCGCGTTGAACGCGCGACGAAGCGCTGCCGTCGTGAAGTCTGAACACTGCCTAAATGGAGTGGAGCGAGGTTCGCTACAAATATGACGTAAATCCTTGAATTGAAACAAGTTAATTGGCTGGCGTTACTGTCTTTTAGCCCTTGAAACGCAACTTGATCATAACCTGTCCTCACTGAATCTTATTGATAGCTTAACCACCAAAGGATCATTCTAACTTGTAGACCTTGTAGCTCTTGATTCTCACCTAGTGAGGAATTAAGGGATTTCTTAGTGCAAGTCACACAAACAGACCAAGTTTCATTTGTTATTCTTTTGTTAAGCTACACGAGAAGTCTTGTTTACCATTGTCTAGGGAATTCTTCCTTGAGGATAAATGAAAAATCGAGGCAAGGCACGAATTTTGAAAGTGAACAGGGGTTTTGAAGCTGTATAGGTTTTAGCTCATTGAGTGGGCAAGTCAAAGCTGAAATCTACCTCGCTGAATGTTTTCCTGCTCCCAAACAGGATGACAAGCACCATTTCAACATGTCAGTTTATTATTTTTCACCAAGTGAGTAATAAACTAAAGTATTTCAAACAATATCCTGGTGTTTTCACTTACTAGACGGTCTCAGTAAAGTGTGCTAATCTCTGCCAATGGGAACTCATGTTCATATCACCATCAAATGGGCTGTTTCTCACCCAGTGGTAGGCCTTATAAGATGCACCACATGGGTGTGATCTGACACCCAGATCGCAGAAGTCCTTCCCTTTCTCATTAGGAATGGGATAAATCCCCGTTTTGGTGGTCATAAGTAGGTTACTCGTCTGGCTTGTTGCTCGTTTCCGGGCACATGTCTTACTCACGGATATTCGTGCATTCGCGAGCGCTTCTACGAGTTATCAGGAAGTGGGACATCGAACTTGGCCTTCATACCTGCAGCCCTTTTCTTCCTTTGTTGAGTTACACGAGAAGTCTTGTTGACCATTGTCTAGGGAATTCTTCCTTGAGGATAAAAGTCGTGTCAGGGCACGAAAGTGAAAGCGTCCAGGGGTTTTCAAGTTGAGCTCAGCTAAGTGGGCGTGTAAAAGTTGGGACCTACCTTGCCACATGTCTTTCCTGTTCTCAAATAGGATGACAAGCACCACTTCAACATGTCACAATTTATTCTTTTCCGCTAAATGAGTAATAAACTAAAGTATTTTAAACAGTGTCCCGGTGTTTTCACTCATTAGATAGCATCAGTAAAGTTTGCTAACTCACGTTCCCATCACCACCAAATGGGTGTTCACCCAGTGCATCGCTTGGGTGTGATCTGATACCCAGATCGCATAAGCGCACAGTCTTCCTTCTCAAGAGGGACAGGATAGGTTCCCATCAACTTCCTTTGCAGTTATTTATTTTCGGCTGTTGCAGCTTTGTGGTCCCAACTGGGGAACTCTTCTGGCTTGTTGCTCGTTCCAGGGCATGTTCGCCTTACTGACGGACATTCGTACTACGGTTGGCTTTAGCACTCAAGTTCGGCTATGAATGTATTAGGTTGACTCAAAAAGCCTCGGACATTTGAAGTTCAAAATTTATTACTGCACAAAAATTAAACAACTACAGCTAATCATTCGAAATATGTTACATTATTATCTATGGTCACTTGCCAGTCTTTTGAGTAGATCGTAGACACCCTTCCTCCAGAAGGTAGTTGAATGGGATTTGAAGAATCCATCTAGTGCTTTATCGACGACTTCGTAGGCTATGAATTTTTGACAGTCCAAACGGTGTCGCAGGTTCGAGAATTGGTGGTAATCAGAGGGTGCAAGGTCTGGAGAGTATGGTGAGTGGGAGGACAGTCCAGCCATACGTCCCTGGTTCACACTTCGTCGCCCTTGCAATGTGTAGTCTGACGTTGGCATGTTTGAAGTGCACTTGGCTTGCTTTTCCCATGTATTCGTGAGGTGAGCCTTCAGATTTCGTGCTTGAGCAACGTAAATGTCGGCAGTTACTGTTGTACCTTCTTTCAGTAGCTCCCAGTATTCTACTCTACAAACGCTCTTCCAGATGCCTAAGATCGCTTTTTTCCATGCAGGTCAGAGTTCGGGAAACGCTTCGACGGTACGGGCACGTACTTCGCGCAAAGGCTAACACCGTCCGTAAAACTGCTCTCGAACACGAGGTACCAGGAAAGCGGCCAAAGGGGCGTCCCAAACAGAGCTGCTTCGACAAGCTGCATACAGACTTGAAAATAGCCGGCATTCACCCCGATCAGGCAATCAATCGGGAAAAGTGGCGTAATTATATCAAAAGAGCGGACCCCGCCACCGAGCGGGACAAACGCTGAAGAAGAAGAACAAGAGATCAGAATTCGAGACGTCTTCTGCTTTTCCTCCTTTGTCTACCCATTGGGTACGGCTGTGTACTTGAAGTGAAGTATCCATTTTTCATCTCCAGTGATCAGGTTGTCCAGCCACGAGTGCGTGCGCTTGAGGTGAGAAGGGGAGTGACGTGTCGACCCTCCGATCCATGTCCCGCTGTGATAATGCATGTGGTACCTATAATGAATTTTGGAACCTTTCCTAGTGACTTCAGTCCGCGGACCACTGTCGGTTGGCTAACAACAAGCTTGGCGGACAGCCCCGAGTGGTTTGGTATGGGTCCGTTTCTACCTACTCCCGTAGCACGTCCAAATCCACCGCCGTTGGCTGCCCTGTCCTTCCATCATCTTCGATAGAATACTCGCCTTAACTGAAATGGACAATCCAAGAGTAGGTGGTGCTGCGAGCGTGAGCAGTCTCCTTATAAACATCCTGCAGGCGGAGGTGGAACTTGTTAGGATTAAGAACAGCAAAGAACAGGAACAACATGACGTTGCGGAGGCGGTGAGGGCGTGAATTCAAGCGGCATATTAGACACCAACCACTACGTTCAGGCAAATGTTCAGAGGTCTTGTAGAACGTTCCTCTATCGAACGGCTCTTCGAAGTGCCCAGGAGATCTAAAAGTTGACGGGATAAACCTTTCTGAATGAGGACATCCACAAATGTCCGAGGACTTTTGGGTCATTTATGGTTGAAATTTCTTGATTTCACACATGAACTGGCCGTTTTCCCCTACCTGAAGAACAGCTTACTTCCCCTTTTGTAGAGGCATGGAAGGAGAATCAATAATTGTGGGGCGGAACTCGTTGTTTCTACACAACAAACTCGAATAATTAGTCGTTTTTCCCTCTCAATCGTTCGTTAGTAGGCTTGGCATAGGCATTTCTCTTGGCTTCATCATTAAATAGCTCTGGTCCCAGTGCGGGTTATGCGCTCGGTCGTTCGTTCGACGACGCGTGTGGTCATTCTTATTGTGAATTCATGTATTTTTGACTTGGACAAGGGGGATCGCAATGGCATCGGACTGCCAATTTCACCACCCCACCATACCACGACACCACTAGTGCCACATAGCAACACACACTGTCTCCTACTCCTTCTTCATCTATCCATTCTCCATCCATTCATAGTTGATTAGATGACTTTTCCCTCTCGTCGTAGTCTATCCATCGGACGTGTTACTGGTGACTATTCCTAAGCTCAGCCCTATTCCACCCTTTTCCAATCATTACTAGCGGCTTAGCTAGATCTTTGAGACCTTTTCGTACAACCTTATGCTCCACCCTTTATGGTCAAACCTTGTGATCCATCCATGTCGGCTAGAAACTCGATTGCTTCCCTATCGTCTGGCTCAACGAAGGTTGAGACACGTCTCGTTGATATTCCATCTAGAACGTCGTTCTGTTCTCATGTATCCGGTCAAGAAGGTGCTATGATTCCTAGTAGTAGCAGTAAAGACGATGATCTTCTTAGTTCATCCAGTGATGAAATCGAAAAGATGGCTATGAATACACTAGAACATTTGGAAGAGGTACGGATTCTCTGATGGGTCATATCTTACTTGCTTAACTCTAACCCGCTCTTTCAACACAGACAAAAACCCCTGGTATATTAAATCATCAACTTGGCGATAGCAATAGCAAGGACAGCCCGACTAAAGATCAACTAGGACCCGAGAAATTGAAGGACACTGAAGAAGCTCAAGGTATCTTCTAGTGCTTGACTGCTCTAAGCTTTTATTAAATCATGTAGTCAATTTTGGGTAAGTTACTACAAGTACTCGACTGTGAATTCTAACCATATTCTTAGCGCTGTCCGGCTTAGTAGGGGTATTGTCGCACTTTTGCCAATTCCTTTTGTTAGTCATCTTGATTAGCAGGTCTGATTCGGATTAAATGCGGTAAACTCGCGTGAAACTACGAAGAGATACATCCAGGCGATGCTTTGGTCACAAGAATTTACATGTCCCCACAAGGTGACCTGAACACAAGGCACGTCCTGCCGCTAAAGAAAACATTCGGAAATTACGACCCCCACTCCCCCCCCCCTACTTCCCTCTGATACCCCACTCCCCTTCCCCATCCTATCTACCACTTTCCTTAGATTTTTCCAGCTTCTTTCCTTCTTTCCAGTTTTCCGGAGCTTCCACAAAATTTTCTAGTTTTTGCTTAAAATTTTGATACCGATCCGGAAGGAGGCGGGGTCTATGTAACACATTTGAAACGGGAGAAACTGCAGAAATTCAACAATCAGGCTGAATTTTTTCACAACGCCGCAAATTTCTCTCAAAGGCAAATACGCCCCCCCCCTCTCCCAGCAGCGAGCAAATGCGAACCTACGCCTTCCAGGTTAATGAAACAAGGAAAGACAACTGTCAAAAAAACTTTCCCAGACCAAGTACAACCCACTCCCGCCCCCATTAAAGGCACCGTTCGCGACCGCAATTGCGGGAAACGGAACTCAAATAGGCACAAAAAAGTGCTAAGTATCCGATTAGCGGAGAAAAGCAGCAGAAAAAGCAGTCCGAAATGTTATAGAGAAAGATAACATAGTGGCTACTACCTAGTAGCTAGCAGTCGGTGAGGGTCGGCATGGGCGTAAAGGGTGTCCATGGGCCTAATTAGTCAGCTTCTAGCGGAGTTTTTGCCGTTTTTCACGTTTTGAAAGCAGCGCAGCCTCAAAAATCATCTTCCGGATCTCCGACACATTTGAGAGGTCATAGCCTTATTTTGTCGCGGAATGTGCCTTTAGGTGGGGATTCTTCAACGCACAAGGAGATCTACCTGTACAGGCTTCGTAAGGTCTTGTCTGTATTGTTCCAATTTTAGTATATGTTCAGGCATGCCTGAGCTTCGCTAAGGATTATTTGGTGCACCCTACCAACAAACGGCCAAGCCGAACTGCGTCATATTTTCTGTGCTTTTCTTCTCTCTGAAAATGACTTTGTTATACGGGTTATCACTCTATTTCTGAGTGTAAAAACTTGATGGCAAGTGAGACTTTAAAGTGAGGCCGATGTCAATGCCGCTGGGGCCAAATCACCGTCCTGACTTTTGTTTTTCACCTAAGAACAGCGGTAACTTCCTCGGGGCATTATAAGGCTTGTCTTCATTGGCATGTTCTAACTTCCAAATTCCACTGTAAGTTACTTTGTTGATTCAGACTTTGCTAGTAATCCATAGGAAAGGTTAACGATCAGCTAGAAGGATCGCAGAGACGAAAAGCGCAGTCATTTGTTTTGTGGGTCGACTTAAAAAAAGGCTAAATAGTGCTAGGGCATTACATGCAATTGGTGCGAATGATTTATGCAGCCATGCGATACCCCATTTTGCTCGACTTTTAGGAGTTGTTTTTCATTTTCAGATGTTTTCCTCCCATTTCTTCCAGTCTGTGTATATTTCCCACCCCGAACGCATGATCTTCCGCTCAAACAATTCTTTCAAGGCAGGATTTAGGCCCTATTCTAACCTCTACTAGGGCTATTTTCATAATGAAGAAGACCACTAGCCCCGGTGAGGGAGTCTTCCTTATTCCAAAGTGAAGTGAATTAACGAGTTATGTTCATTTCATATAGTTCCTTCGAACTGAAACACTACAAAGTTACTTATAAGTTTTTCATAAGTTACTTACCTAGTTACAATAAGTTTCAATAAAGTCACAGTTTCAAAATACAATATTTCGAAGCTCATCGATACGATAAGTTTAACTGAATGCGCCGCCGGATGTTGACTGATATTTGAACGAAAAATATACAGATGCTTGCACACTGCCCATATTGCTCAAAATAAGCCGTTGCATAAACGCCACAAATTGTTTTTTACTGGTAATATGGATAACAACCCTCAGAGTGACTGAAACACGATCTATAAAGTAACTTCATAAAAGGTTAATTGAACAAGTTATCATGGAAGTAACGTCGGAAGGTTCCACATACCAAAATTGAATCTTTTCAAAATGAGAAGTCATCAGAGGTGAAGCCACTTTTTGTTTTTTGTGTACAGTCTTGTCGGTTGCGGATGCTGGGGCGTGTCAGAAGGCACCGCGCCAACACCTTTGTTCCACCAATCTGATGTTTTTCTCTCTCCAGCAACGGGCTGGGTTGGCGCCGCGCCGAACCCGATCGCCCTGACACGCCCGAGGGCCCGCAGCGAACATGACTAAGTCATGTGTTTTAAAACCATCCCACTTAATTTTTTCTCATTTCAGCGAACATCCAGAATGAGTTCGGTGTGTGCGGTTGGATACTCACGCTACTTTCATACCTCTTGATTTTTGTAACATTACCTATATCAGCATGTATGTGCATCAAGGTAAGCAGATATAATATCTATCTGAATATATCGATTTTTGTACACCTTTTGGGCGACGTGCATAATCTAAGTAGCGCTTGCTGGCTAGTTGACCCGGCGTGCAAGAGCATTTCTATGTCGTACGAGTATTTCTGCAACAAATGCTGCACACTGAACGCTATTTTCAACAACTTTTCGCCGCGTCGCGCACCAAGGGTTCCCGACGGGTCCTCTCAAACTATCAGTCATAAAAGTAACCACGTGACTCAATTTATAATGAGATTTTAAGCAAGCGTAATGATTCAGTGTAATTAGCTTACGTCACCTTTCTCAGTTAGGGAATATGGCCAAGACAATCGCCGCACCGCCGCGCGCGGCGATGGGCGCGGCGATTTTTTAATTCGCGTTGACCTGTCTGTTGGAACACCGCTATTCATGTAGACTACGACAATGTAAACAGTGATTACTATTTTTGGTTACACGTTGCCTGTTGTCGCCATATGCGACCAAAACATTAGCGGTTGCGCGCGACGAGGCACGCGACGCTCACGCCAAATTTCGATTGTCTTGTCACATAGACTTAAACATCACTCCGTAGTATGGGAAAAGCGTCGAGAACACTGAATGATTAACCATGAAAAGCCCGAACATACTTTGGAAGTAAAAGTTCCATATTTGTATAATTATTGTAAAATCAAGCATGTCAAACTCGCTTGAGAAAAGATTCACTTATTTCTCAAAAAAGCAGCTGACTTCGCTCATTCTTGTCTTGCTGAGTTTAGGCCTCCACACTTCTTGTTTACAATATTCCTACTTTCTGAGAATTGAGAATTGAGAAATAACCACTTCTAAACCGTTGTACTCTTGGAATAGCCCTTTCTTCTCACCATATGCGCAAATAATTGCAGTGCCTTATACAAAACATAACTCGGTAAAACACATTATTATTACTATTAGTTAAAATAATTTCCTACGACATTGTTTTGAATAACAGTAAAAGTGAATTCGAGCCTAGTTTTGTAAAGAAAAATCGGCAAAAACAAAAAAAAACTAGATTTCGTTGTTGTAAAACCGTGAGTTACAGACAACATCCGCGGTTCGGGCATGCAGAATTCTCCGCATATTGGTAGCCAGACAAAGCAAATCATCGTTGCGAATTCATCAACAGAGGGGGGTCGTATTGAATCTGAGAAAAATTCCTTCGAAGTAATTTTTCTTCTTCGTCGAGGGTGGTCGTCTTTGTTTATTTTCGCATATTTCTGACGACGCTTGCGCTCACAAGTCATTCTGCCTTCCTTGAATACATTTCTTAAAGAGACGCTAGCAATTAGAAGCAATCCATTTCGCAAGATAGCATGCTTTTTTGGTGTCAATTCAGTTCACCGATAATGCATATACTCGGATTACGGTAGTCCCAGTTTTGCACAAGGATTTTCCCAGAACTGTGAAACGAGCCTCGCTTGTACGCCATGTTTCCGATTTTTTTAATTCTCGAGCGGTATTTAGTTCTGAGCGGAGCAACAACTGTGAGCCTGAGATGCGGTCTACGTACAACTCATACGAACTCGAACTTCCTTTAATCGCGCCGACTTTCTGTTTTTTTTCTATGTGCTCTCACGTCTACAATGACCATATGAATCCGAGTTTTACGCCTAATAGAGGCTCATCTACCCCCCAGTCCCATTCCCTAACAGAGGTCACTTCCTTGTTAGTGCACCATTCGATGTTTTGGCAGCCACAGCCCTGTTTCTCTGCGCTCTTGCCTTTGGCGCCAGGTCCACGAAAGTTCTAGTTTCCACGTAAACCACCAGGGCACATCGTCGTGGGGAATCCCCATAGGGGGGAGGGGTCATATTTGGCCGCCGAGAGAGTAGGAGTTGTGTTTGGGCTGAGAAAAATTTATTTGGATAGTTGATTTTTCTCGCTTCACGGTCGTTGTATAGGGGAGGGGGGGGGGTCTACTTGGTCATTGTTGGGAGGAGGGAATCGGGGGTCGTATTTACGTTTCGGCGTTGTAGGAGCAGTGGTTGACTTTTTGTGGTTTCCCTGTTTCATGCGTACTATACATCCCCCCCTCACCATCCCGATCGACAGCAAAATTTTTGGGGAAAAATAGGGAACTTTTCGAGAAAATTTGGAGCCAACCCCCAGGAAAAAAAGGGGAGGGGGGGGTCGTACGGACTCGACTAGAATCTCCAACCAATGATGTGCCCTGTAAACCAGAGATGCGTAGTGGTAACAGGCGTATCGATCTGTTGGCTTGGAGTCAGCAAAACTAAAAAATTGTGCACACGTTTGTTCAGGGTGTGTGTCTGCGGTCATTTCTTCTGCTTTGTTCGTCGATATTAGATCAGATAGCGCTACCTTTGTTTGCTTTTGTAGTGCTTTTGTTAGCCCTCTTAAATATGTCTATGTGCGAAATGTGCCTTCAACGGGGTCGTTGTACGTGCTTTATCAGGGCAAATCATTAGTTGGGAATTTCGGTCGAGTCCGTGAACCCCCCGCCTGAAAGATAGTTTGATACAATTCCCCCTTCTTCCCTTTCGCTTCGTTGTTTTTTCACATTCTTGCCGCTGGGGAAAATTTTCGGAAAATGACACCTCCACAATTCCCTTTCCTTCCTACCTACCATTTTCCCAGATTCTCCTCACCTCCCACCAGTTTGTACCGAAGTTTCCCTGGAATTTTCTGCTTTTTCCTCAGAAATCTCTGTCGAGCGTGAGGAAGGGGGGGGGGTACATAATAGGATGTGAAATAGGAAAAACCGTGAAAAGTCAACAACAGGGAAGAATTTTCCCAACGCCGCAAATTTCTAGAGGGCGCGGAAGGTGAATACTTCACCTTCTTATGACGTCCGATAAACAAGAAAAATCAACTATGAACAAAAACCTCCTCAGACCAAGTACGATCCCCCTCCCTTCGGCGACAAAGTCCGACCCTCTCACTGTTAGGAATACCCAAATGCGCTGTGGGGTTTTCATTAGCTCCTTAGAACCGACGTGGGTTTTCACTGCGGTTTTGCAGTTTAATAGAGCTCGCTGTCTTTGTCGGAGATTTTTATGCGTGCTAACTTGTCACATGTTACCATAACAATTTTATTACCATGTTGTTAATTAAGGAACACGCAGTCACTTGGAATATCTAATAAATTATCCGGTATGTCCGGAAACGCATTAGCTCGCTCTGTTCTCATCCTGCTTTTCAAAAGAAGAGTGCTTTGCCCCTAGCTGCTGAAGCAGGGTTCTGTTAGGTGGCTAGGTTTGGCGCGGCGTCGACCTCTTTACCACTAGTTCTTGACGCTTCTCCGTTTTACTATTGGTGGAGACGGGGCTGGCGTTGCGCCAAACACAGCGCTTCGACACGCCCCAGCATCCGCAGCGAACAAGACTGTAGAGCCGTGGAGACGGGACTTCTTTCGAATTGAATGGAAATTATTAAATATACATGGTTCTATACTTTTAAAATTTTCAAATGCAGGTTGTACAAGAATATGAACGAGCTGTTATATTTCGATTGGGACGCTTGATGCCGGGTGGTGCCAAGGGCCCAGGTGAGAACTTTCATGCGTAATTGTCGTTGATTCACTCTTTATGTTGCTTAGAACATGGTACATAGTAATTTCAAGCTGGGAAGTAGTAATATAATATTCTCTCCCTCAATCTGCCCTGGTAGTGCACCATCGTGGGTACCCTCATCTCTCAAATGCATGTTTCGCTGGAAGGAAACGTAGCATCTCTCCCTTGTACAAGGTGGCACGGTTCACAGTCGCAGGTATTGCACCGTTTTCGAGTCTAGAAAAGGAACGACCAGGGACTGAGACCGTCATTCACTCTCACAGGGAAAGCCATCAGTAGCTACGCCACGTGCTCATGGAGAGTGCTTTTTGGGGTCGTCTGTCGTCTCGCCCACTTTTTCGTTCTCTCATCTCTTTCTTTGATCTCGCTCGTGTGCACGCAACCACTCTCTTCCTAGTGTGATTTTCTGAAAATCAATTGTAAAAAGAGCTCAGGCACTATGTTTCCTTGAAGGCAGTTGACACGATAATTTGGTACTCGGCCCTAAATGCTAGCAGGGCGCTGCATTGTGGAGAAAACGGAGGAAAAAAAGAAGTGAAACGGTCGAAAACCAGCGAAGAGAGCCTTCTTTCTTCATAACTCTGGAAGCAATTTTGGACGAGTTTCCCGTTAGCATCTTGCCAATGGCCGCTACGGTAGGTGCGGCTGCACGTGTGCACTCACACATAGATATATATCCACTCATATATCCGCCGCTTCATACCAATCCCTTGGCTTCATACTTTACTTAGCAAATGAAGCAATACGAGCATCAGGTACGGTCGTCCATTTGTGGGCGGGCGTGCGTGGAGGGCATTCGGGTCGGCATTTCCTTAGAAAAGGGCGCTACGCAGCGCCTGCCCATGGTCACGGAATTCCGTCCTGCCAGGAATATTAATCCTACTCGTTCCTGGGGATTTATCGTGCCAACTGACTTTAACTAGCCAGGGCATCTCATCTATTGCGGATAGAAATCACGGCACGGCAGAGCGTGTCGTTCTTGGTCTGAAGAGATATGTTATTTTTTCTTATTGATTTTTGTGCGTTATTTTTACTTATATAAACAGTGAACCATCTCTTGACAAAATGTTGAAACAATTAAATGAATCAAAGGACTACTGATTTTTCTTGACATGCGCTGTATACCCTCCCCCCCCCATCTCCCCGCTCAACGGCTCAGTTCTTGAATTTGCAGAAGGGTCCATTATGTTGAGAAAGAGTGGTTGTATTTTGCAGTATATCTATCAAACTTCTTTACGTACTGATCTGGCCAAAACCTCGTTTCTGGCAATCTAACCTCTAACCCCTGACACAAATGTCGCATCCGCTCGGGACGAAGATATCTGGAGTGACATACAATTTTTCTCCCTCATGGTTAGCGGAGGCTGAGGGCTATACTTGATAATGCCCCAATTAGTCGGGGCGGTGTGAGAAGCGGTGGAGTAACCTTGCCTCCAACTGTTTTGCTCTGCCAATGCTAAATGGTTAATGACCCATCCAGGAAGATAACAACGTGCTGGACACCGCGATTGGGCTCATCCGTCCCGCTTGAAACCGCCCCTACTGACTTCGACGATATCATTTGCGTATTGTCTTAATAGGTGTGTGATTGTTTGAAGAGCACTTTTCAGGTATCTTTTTCATTGTTCCTTGTATTGATACGTATCGTAAAGTTGACCTCCGAGTACTTTCGTTTGAGGTCCCACCTCAGGAGGTATGGCACCATTCCTTAAGCAGTCCGGTCGGCACTGAAAGACAGTAACTTGTACTTTCAGATATTGTCTAAAGACTCTGTTACTGTTGCAGTCGATGCTGTTGTATACTTTCGCATATCAAACGCGACAATATCGGTAAATCAATCAATTATCGAATTTTGTTAGAAGTCCGTAATGTGTAACACAATACTTCTGGTATTCATAATGTGTAACACATTTAGGTAACAAATGTGGAAGATGCTGCGCGATCGACGAAATTACTCGCGCAAACCACACTTAGAAATATTTTGGGAACAAAAACCTTGGCGGAAATGCTTTCCGATAGAGAGGCTATCTCACATCAAATGCAGGTAACAAAGTGTTGCAGTCCTTTCCGATGAAACCTGTATGGTCCTTATATAAGGGCAGTGCGGGACGTTCCGGCGATGGCTTCGTATTCCCATGCCGACCCTCTTCTTTTATACGTGCGTTTCTGCCTCTCTCTCGTCTGCACTCTCGCCACTTTCGCCGCCACGTCTCTTGCTGCTTTCGGATAAGGGCCCGTCGTCTTGACAGACGCTCACCCACGCAGTCATGGCAGGATCAGTTTGGGCGCTTTACATAGGATTCTATAGAATCGTTTTTTCACGGACTATTATAACCCTGCTTGATCACTTCTATTTTTAGACTACACTTGACGAAGCCACGGAACCCTGGGGGGTGAAAGTGGAAAGAGTTGAAGTCAAAGACGTCCGTCTTCCAGTTCAATTGCAACGAGCGATGGCGGCTGAAGCCGAAGCGGCTCGCGAGGCCAGAGCAAAGGTATTTGAAATGCAAAGCTAATTACAAGTTATGTGATTTTTTCAAAAAAATCAGTCACTACTGAGCAACGTAGCTTGGCGATATTTAGGTGATCGTTGCCGAAGGTGAACAGAAAGCATCTCGTGCCTTGAAAGAAGCAGCAGAAGTTATCGCTGAGTCGCCATCTGCTCTTCAACTACGCTATTTGCAAACGCTTAATAGCATCTCGTGGGTTTCCTACTTCTCAATTATATACCAACTTTGGAGCAGTTCGGCAACTGCAACAACACTTTGGAGCAGTTCGGCAACAGTTCGCACCAATTTGCATTTTTGCACTTCCCATCGATGTCTCTATCCATCTGGAGAGCCTTTCTGTGAGTTGACAGGCCATGGTGGCTCGACAGGCTGCTCCAGCTTTACAAGGTTTCACAGGTTTCACCGCAAGACTCGTTAACTACAACCAGTGAAGCAGCGAAAGTGCAAAATGACCCAATCTCGTTGCCGAGTTGCGCCTCAACTTTCTGCCATTGCTACCTTTTTTTACAAAACTCATACCTGACATTACTGTGATGAAGCACGGGATAAAAAGCTCCGCTGTTCTAGCTACAACCCGGCTATCACTAAGAATCCACCGGTTGCATGTACTTCAAATCTCTGATATGCGTGGGCATGGCTACGTACTTTATTTCGAAGTGGGCGGCCACTTTCCATGAACAACGCCCTCCTGTCCCCTGATCTCTATCACGATGTAGGCTACATTAGAGGTGGGCAAACTGCTCCTGAGCTACGTTGCCGTTTTTAATTTTAGAAATGTGATGACATCTCGATGTCCTTCACCGCGACCTTACAGCATTTTCTTTCGGTATTATGCCTGTCAAACATAGTCATGAAGTTCTCAAATGCATCCCTCATTTTAGAGTTCTGCCCACTGCGCATGCGGCCATTTTTCTCTCGTTTTCACCTTGTTCTCACCTTCATTCTCACCTTCACATCACTTTCTGTCACTGCGTCGACGGATATAGAAAATGAAATTTTCCCCACGCTCACTCACAACCGAAGGGGACGATTTTGTTTGGTTTCCAATCCCTAGTCCATTTTGCTCTTTTTCTCAGATCGGTCTGTACCGGATAATGTAACTTTCATCTCAGTGCTGCGGGGACCTCCCAGACCAGATCTGGGTGGTCAACGTTTGAGTGGCTCGTAAGCGCTGCTGATCGATGCTTCGGCATGCCACCGTGGCCTCGTGGTAATGGTCTCGCTTTCAAGTCAAACGCATGCGGGTTTGCGTCCGGTTGGCGCGAGATTTTTTGCTTCGCTTCGTATAAGAACTTCAACCCAATTTTCGAAATTCTTCCGAACTTACGGCCTAGCAGGGCAAGGAGATCAAGTACATCAAGTATACGACGTACTCGTTCTAGTATGGATGTGGTCATATCTGCCCTCCCTGAACATATTACCCGTCCAACAATTCAAAGCTTTAGGCTGCGTTTATACTTTGCGGCAGCGTAGCGTAGCGCTTCCAGCGTACGCCAGCGGCACTGCCGAGGAAAGGATAGATATCAATCTAGCTTTACCAGCGTCACCAGCGTACGCCGGCGTAGCGAGGGCACGTTAAGCATAGCTAATCGCATCTAGCTTCACCAGCGTTTCTCGAGCGTTTCTCCAGCGGCACCAGCGTTTTGCTAGCGCTTGCAGCGGTAGGGAGTAGAGACTATATGGCCGTGAGAGACCCGGAACCGACGTGTATTGTAGAGACTATGTGGCCGGCAGCGGACGCGGAATCGATGTGTTATAGTAGAGACTATGGGGCCGTCGGAGACGCAGAAGCGATGTGCATTGTTAGAGACTAAGGCGAGTGAGAGACGCGCAATCGATGTGTTTTTGTACCTCCAGCTCTCCCATAGTCTCTACTCCCCTGCTGCTGCAAACGCTAGCAAAACGCTAGTGAAACGCTGGAGAAACGCGCGCGTACGCTAGCGTGCGCTAGCGTACGCTGGTGACGCTGGTGAAGCTAGATCGATATCTATCCTTTCCCCGGCACTGCCGCTGGCGTACGCTGGAAGCGCTACGCTACGCTGCCGCAAAGTATAAACGCAGCCTTAGCGAGAAATTCGTTAATGGGAGATTTCGACCCCCTGAACACGAGTATCACATCCTTTGACGAAAAAACGCTCGTCTGGCCAAATTGCGATTCTGGGCAAAACTTTGAATTGTCGGATGGGTAATCTGTTCAGAGAGGGCAGATATGACCATCCATACTAGATCGAGCACGTCGTATACTTGATGTATTGATCTACTTGCCCTGCTGGGCCGTAATTCGGAAGAATTTCGATAATTAGAGTCACGGTGGCACAGCCGAGGCATCGATCAGCAGCGCTTACGAGCCAGAACTCAAACTTTGACCACCCAGATCTCGTCTGGGAGGTGCCCGTAGCACTTTTATGTGCATATTCGTATCAGCATTTGAGGCTCCATCGATGTACCTAGGTCTCTATTCAAAGTTCCGTGGGAATTTCAAACCATTCCCTTGTTAGCCCAACCCATTTGAGCGCAGTTTCCATCTGCGATGAGTGCTACTCTAACTTCGTTTCGGAGAACCGTTTATCTCGCTTCTTCGCTTTTATGGTTTCTGAACAGTGCGATCATTTTTTTTGGTCAAATTGTTTTCATTTGCGCGTTGATTACTTCGACAAGTGCCTCTTTCACCGAGGTTTTTCCTGCCAAGTTCCTTTGCTTTGTCCTTGGGATGGGGGTTGGAGTGAATTGACCATAAATATGTTGGTCATCTCAAAATCACTCTCCTACTGAAGAGTGGAACATCTGGCACAATCTTGTCCAACTCTGTAGCTCCTTCTGTATTTTCTCGGCTACGTTGCCCATATGACCCGCTTTTTTTTGCAGTCACTCGACGCCTATAGTCCTCATCATTGCGGACCGGCGGGGCGTGGCAGTGCGGCTGCGTTTAGTGCGGTTTGGCAAAGTCGTTCTGCACCAGTTTGTGAAGCGGGCAAATGCATTACTGTATTATATCCTTCGTATTAGTCGTTTTCTACACTTTTTGTCGCATACGCGTTGCAACAAAAAGGCTGAGAACGGCTTCAACACTGCGCGCACTCTTTCTCACTGACAGGCCCCACCGGTCCGCAATGATGAGGACTGTAATTTTTCTTAGGGTAATTACTTTCTGAGCTTTATTACTGAGTGTTTGTTGGTTACACGATCGTCTACTTTCCTTTCTACAACTGTGATTTGTGAACCCCTCCGCTTCTCTGTAACTCCGCCGTTTTAATTGCTGCGTAGAAAAAAGCCTAGTGCTTACACCCGAGAAATCGTCGTACACGCCCCCTGAAAATAGAGCGGGTTAGCAAATATCTCAAATTTTCACGAAGTAAAATGAAAACGAATACAACAGTGAATGAACAGACTACCTTTGCCTTGTCAATGATGCAACTTTCATTTCAGAGCAGAGAAGAACTCAACCATAATCTTTCCGTTCCCAATTGATTTGCTCAGTGCTTTCTTACAACGACCAGCTGCAAAAGTGTAAGTTTTGAAGTAGTTCTCCATTTCGTTGAACAGTCATGTTAAATATAAGGCTGAGCCTTGTCACCAATAATCCTCCGCATTGTTACGTAAGTTTTTACGGACACACCGGTTTTGTTGTGGGGGAGGGGGGGGGGGGTAGAAGTTGTCAAAAGCAGTGGGCACGATGACTGGGGGTGGGCGATTACTGTCAACATTGGTGGAAGGGGTGTGTGGGGTGTGGCCAAATGCCCTCTCGCAGTCCTTCCACCAATGACGCTGGCAGTAACCGCCCTCCCGCAGCCATCGTTCCCGCTGCCTTGTTTCTCGCAATACGCAACGAGTGAGAAAGAACTCGTTCTGAACAAAGTTACCTAAGAACTGGAATATAATACAGCAATACAGAATACTCTGAATTATTTGCCTCAAGAAAAAAAAATTAGAAGCACCATTAATTTATAGGCTTCACTGTTGATGATATTCCAAAGCGCTTTATTTATTTTTTTGTTTAGTTTTTGCTGAATTTTCTTTTGCTTCAGTGAAAGTTGTGTATCGTCGACGATGCTTCCACATTCTTCAAAGACTCACATGTGTTAACATCGCGCTAAGCCATCACACACCGACACATTCACAATTGATTTTTAATCTCACAGCACCTTTGAAATGAAGATTGTGCAAATAAAAATTGTGTTGCTATTTGTCAGCTTCTCTTATTTTTGCACTGAATTTTTGCCAGGTTTGCATCGCTGTTTTTGCGTCATTTGCTAGCTTTTGTGACGTTTTACATCTGCATCCATTTGGCATGTTCACTATGTTATTACAAAAGCGAGTACATCTAAGGATCCGAGGCATATTTAACGGTAGTTTCTTATGTGGGTAAGATGGTTTGGTTTGCAAGTGTAGAGGGTATTCTAAGTCCGCGGTTCAAATTGTGAAGGAAAGGTACGAAGGGCTCATTTAGCTGATCTGGGTCTGACCGTGAGGCTTGCCTCTTCTTAGGGTTGCCTCGATACATGGTCCATGGTAACTCCCTATTCCATTTGCTTTCCTTTCCTGGATACCTGCTGTATTATTCAGTGCCCAGACCCATCATTCTTTGCTCGTCTACGCTCAAAATCAGTTGCATAAAAGACCAGAAATTGGTAGTTCAGAGTAGGAGTAGGAAACCTATCCAAGGAACCAGTGGTGTGGGGCATCAACATATGGGCATCAATTCGAACTTAAAGGCATCCTCGCGTTCATCTGACGTTCGACGCCTTCTCTAGACATTGTAATCTACGGGAAAGCATCGAAGCTGTCCACGCAGCTCAAAATATGTACATGAGGAAAATGCGACCCGCTCACGAGCATGCCATCGCCACGCCCACTAGTTACGGTAATGCCAACCTCATTTCTGAAGGAATACAAGTGGTTTCCTTGTTCGCTACTACATTCTCCAGTTCGAGTGGTGGAAGTGAGGTCCAAGAGAGAGAGAGAGAGAGAGAGAGAGAGAGAGAGAGAGAGAGAGAGAGAGAGAGAGAGAGAGAGAGAGAGAGAGAGAGTAGAGGAGAGCAGAGAGAAGCGAGACAGACGAGAAGAGAGAGAGAGGCGACAAGAGTAAAGAGCTGATGAAGAAGTGGGAACCCGTCCGATCACCCCTTATGCAAGTATAAGCCGCTTCGGGTAGGGTTCTATATGTAGCATTTCGGGCAGGTTTCTTTCCTTCTTTCTACGAATTCGTGTTATTCGCGATCTTGCCGCTTTTAC